GTTCTGCAGGACTGGCAACGATCTTGCCTTGCCGATCATTCGGCGAAGCTTGGGGCCGTGTCGCACGAGAAAGCGAGTCCAGAGCGGCACTGCTGGCGCGACCGGGCCACTGCTGTCCCTCGTAAGGTCTGCTTGCCTCCTGCCACGCTCTTGCCTCGACGACTGCAAAGGGTATGGTTACGCCGGGGTGTGGCTTGCGATCGGCACCGTTGGGGCCTGGGGGGCATGGCCCTGTCCTCGTCGGGCCTCCTCGGGGCGCGGGGGAACTCCATCGAGGTCCCCGCGCGCCCACCCCGGGATGCCCCCCAGGATGTTGCCCAGGGTGCCGGTCGCAAGCCGCACCCGTTGCAGACCACACCCTCTGGAGTCGCCGACTGCCGCTTGGGGCCTGCCTGCGGCCTCTCGCAGGCGGGCCCGCGCTCCGCTCGAGCAGCGGCCTCCTCCTGCTCCTGAGCCCCGCCACGCGTGGCAGTGGTCCGGGGCAACGATAGGGGGGGATAGGCATAAGGGGGGGCGCATCGATCCCCAATCGCCCATTGATCGCAGATAGGGGCCCGATAGCCCCAACCCGCCCAGGAAGGTGCGGATTCACTATCGGGGGCGTGTCGCCGATCTATCGACGATGTATCGCCGATTGCAGGTCGATGCATCCCCCCCTGTGCCAGTCCCCCCCTATCGTTGCCCCTCAAGTGGGGGGACAGGTTCTGGCAGTGCAGGCACTGCTCGCGTGCGGCCCACGCTCTGTGGCCCCCCCAGCTATGCCTCAGAGGAGGCAGAGGTGCCCATGCCTCTACCCTCCCCTCGCCTTCCCCTTTTCTGGCCTCCTCGGAGGCCCTCGTCGCCACCGCTGGATTCGCCTCGAAATTTTGGACAGAACGCACCCCGGGAGAGATCCAGGGAGTAGCGGTGTCGGTACCTTTTGGTTCCCCCAGTGTTTGTCCGAAGGGATCTTGCTGGTTCTACTTGCTCTTCAGCGCTGCTGCGCCCTGGCAGCGCCCGCGGGTGCGCCGTGGCCCTGGCCCCGGCTGCTGCCGCGACCTCGCTGCCTTGGCTGGCCGCTCCGGCCCGCTCACCGCGGAATTCTTCCGCGTTTGAGCGCCTCCCTCCTTCTCCCGCGCGGCCACCCTCTTCTTCTTCTCGTTCTCTTGCGCGCTGGACAATTTGCCTATCGGTGCCCCCGATTCGCCCGACGCTGGTGCGGATCGCCTACGCTTCGCCGCCGACGAAACAAGTGCTTGTCCGAAGACGCGCAAACTGTTCGACACCAAGCTCGAAGAGCTCGGCCACAAGCGCATTGCTCTGCCCTGCTCCGATGGGTCGTTTATTTGCGAGTGTTTGACGTGTCAAGATTTTTCGTCGAACGGATACCTAAGGTATCTGACCACATTCTGTCCTGGTGGACCTCACAACCCCAGAAATTCGAACTGTTACTGGAACCGCACCTTCGCTGGCAAGTACCCCAAGCTGGACGAAGTCTGGCTTGAGGTGGGCTCTCTCAGCGTGGCGCGCCTTTTCGAGTAATTCACCCGGCGCGCCCAGCTCCCTGGATGGCCACGGGGGCATGGCCTCGTCGTGTGGCATTGGATGTGCTTGCGAGCTTGCGCTTCGCGTATTCGTCGTGCATCTTGCAGAGTGGGTCATCAAGCGCCGTGCTCGACGGCCACCTGGCCCAACAAACCAGGTTCACTTCATTGGCAGAGCAGTGCAGCGGGGAACTCAACGTGGTTGGCATGCACGCTTTTCCCGATCATGCCCGCCGATCGCCAGACCGACCGTATGGGGGGCTGGTGATGCAGGGGCGGGCGTTGGGGGGAGTAACATATTGTGTTGTGAGGAGGTCAGGGCGCATCGGGCCCTTGACGGCCCGAATCTTTCCCAAGACGAGCGTTTGCCGATCGCGCAGCCAAGCTCGGAGCTGCATCGCACCCGTCCGCTGCCCCGGAGACCTTGGCTGGCATTGCTGCAGCAGTCTTGCTTTCTAAGCATACCGTCGGGCTGGCTGCAGAGTCGCTCCCGATGTGGCCCAGCACCGACTGTGTCTGGGGTCCCCTAGCCCAGCCCAGGAGCTCCTGAGCCTCGAGAGGCCTCTAGTCCCAACGCGTGGGCCTGGTTGGGCCCGCCCAGCGGCACCCAGCGTTTTTGGCAGTGCTCGCCTTGTCTCCCTAGCCAGCGTAGTCCCCTCCACGTCTGCCCTTCCCCAGGCCGCTTCTCTGAGACCCCTCGGACCAACGTGCAGTAGCTTCCGAGTTTGAACCACAAAGTGCGCGATCTGCGGTCGTCTCGCGCTCGCGAGCTCCGTGGAGTGCGTGGCGCGACCCCCCCGTGAAGGAAGCTGAGACGTTGTCGTGCGTCTTCGCGATGCCCTCGCTCGTCGCTTTCCTTCTTTTGACGCAGCCGCTATAGGCGAAGCAGTGGAGCTCCTCGTCGTCAGCAACGTCTTGTCGCCCGGCGACGTCAAGGGGGCGCTGGACTGCCAGAGCTGGACCGGAAACCAGGCGGGCGAGCGCTCGCGCGCCTTCCAGCGCAGTCGGCGAGCGACGTGTGCATGAGGCTGGTGCGCGCCGCGCGGGAGTGCGTCCTTCCGGCGGGGCCGCCGCCGTCCGGAGTCCGCGGGGCCGCGCCGAGTTGCAAACGTCCGCGCGCCGCGCGGCGCCTCCGCAGCCGCTCGTCTTCCGCGACAGCAGCGACGACGGCGGCTCGTCGGAGTCATCGTCGCCCGCCCCTGCGCTGCCCGCGCGAAGCCAGGGGCGCGACAACGCGGAAATATTTGTGTCTGGGCTGAGTGCGAAAGTGCGGATGTTCGGGAGAAAGCAGGCGAATTCCTCGGGGCAGCGCGGGCGAGTCGCGGCGGTGACCGTCGACGCGCAGTCGCGGCGCGAGCGCGAGCGCCCGCGCGCGTTGCTGGGCTTGTGTTCCTCCCTCCCAGGGCACGGTCGCGGCGGCGGCGAAGTCTTGATTTGACCGAAAACGCCTACGGCGAATCACCGCCGCCCCCTGCCATTCCAGAATCGCCTATGTGGCCTACAGCTGGGCTAGAGCTTGGCCAAGCTATCGGACCAGTTGTTGCCCGAATCGGTTTGGAGAGCCTTCGGGGAAAGCGTGGGGGAGCAAAAGGTTTGGAAGCGCTCATGTGTCCGAGCGTTGTGGCAAGAGCTCTACCAAGCCATCGGACCAAGTGTTCCCCCAGCCGTTGTGGAGACCCTTCGGGAAACGCTTGGGGCGGGGAATATCAGGGGGAGGAGGAGAAGGAGGAGGAGGAGCAGGAGGAGGAGGAGGAGGAGGAGGAGGAGGAGGAGGAGGAGGAGGAGGAGAGGAGGAGGAGGAGGAGGAGGAGGAGGAGGAGGAGGAGAACCAATGTAAACCCAAGAGTCATCAACGATGTTGGCATCAACCCTCTCTCCAAGCTCCCTCTTCATAGGCCCTTGCAACGGTTCATTTCCATTGAGGGACCTTCCTCGTTTGAAGACCACCGTTTGAAGACCCTGAAGCATGCCAAAACATTGCTCATGGGATATCAACGCCACGGATCAACCTGACTGCTGCGCCTTGACGACGATCCGGAATCGCGCCAGAACGCCATTTCTAGGTTTTCAACACCGCGGATCAACGTAACTGTTGCGCCCGCATAATCCTGAGCCCTTCCAAAACATTATGTCTGGTACGTTGATGATGGGAATCCGTGGAACTTTTTGACAATTTTGTAAGCGACCGCGCGCGGCACTAATGTGGCAACCGCATTTTGAAAAGGAGCCTCCCTCAATCCGTGAAGCTCGTGCATTTTTCAAACGAATGTGCCGCGCTAAGGCGAGAGCCACACTTTGAAAACCAGTCGGCTTTTTTCATTGAAAGCTTTGAACATCTTTTAAAACGAAAGTGCGCCGTGCCAGGGCGAGAGCCACAATTTGAAAAACACTTGCCCTCAGTTCGTGGAACTTCTGAAAAATCTTGACAGTGAGTGTGCGCCGCGCTGGTGCGAGAGCCACATTTTGAAAACCAGCTGCCCTCAATCCGTGAAGTTCTTGCAACTTTTTAGAACGAATGTGCGCCGCGCTAATGCGAGAGCCACATTTTGAAAACGACCCGCCCTCCATCTGTGAAGCTTCTTTTTTTTTTTTTTTTTTAAAGCTTCAGAAACATAACTGGTGAGGAAGTCGCAGGCGAAACGCCCGGCCCGCCCTAAAAACTAGCCTCGGGTGCGACAGGGAGAAGCTATTTATAAGGAATAGGAATGGAGGAGGAGGAGGGGGGGGGAGGAGGAGAGGAGGAGGAGGAGGAGGAGGAGGAGAGGAGGAGGAGGAGGAGGAGGAGGAGGAGGAGGAGGAGGAGGAGGAGGAGGAGGAGGAGGAGAGGAGGAGGAGGAGGAGGGGAGGAGGAGGGAGGAGGAGGAGAGGAGGAGGAGGATGAGGAGGAGGAGGAGGAAGAGGAGGAGGAGGAGGAGGAGGAGGAGGAGGAGGAGGAGGAGGAGGAGGAGGACCAGCGTAAACCCAAGAGTCATCAACGATGTTGGAGTCAACCCTCCCTCCAAGCTCCCTCTTCATAGGCCTCTACAACGGTTCATTTCCATTGAGGGACCTGCCTCGTTGGAAGACAACCGTTTGCAACCTGACTGCTGCGTCTTGACGATCCGGAATCGTGCCATAACGCCGTTTCTGGCACGTTGATCATTGAAATCCGTGAAACCCTTGCAATTTTTCAAACGAATGCGCGCGGAGCTAAGGCGAGAGCCATCGTTTGAAAAAGAACTGCCTTCAATCCGTGAAGACTCTTGCAACATTTTGAAAACGAATGTGCGCGGCGCTAAGTCGAGAACCGCAATTTGAACACCAGCCGCCTTCAATCCGTCAAATTATTGTAATTTGTTGAAGCCGAATGTGCGCGGCGCTCAGGCGAGAACCACAATTTGAGAACCACTCAATCCGTGAAACTCTTGATTTTTTTCCAAAATGAGTGTGCGCGGCGCTAAGGCGAGAGCCACATTTTGAAAACCAGTCGCTTCCAACCCGTGAAATTCTTGGAACGTTTTAGAACGAATGTGCGCGGCGCTAAGGCGAGAACCACATTTTGAAAACCAGCTGCCCTCAATCCGTGAAGCTCTTGCATGTTTTGAAACGAATGTGCGCGGCGCTAAGGCGAGAGCCACCTTTTGAAAACGACCCGTCTTCCATCTGTGAAACTGTTGTCAGTTTTAAGCGTCAGAGTCATAAGTGGTGAGGTGAGGAAGTCTCAGGCAAAACGCCCGGTCCGCCCTAAAAACTGGCCTCGGGGTGCGACAGGGCGAAGCTATTCATGAGGGAAAGGAATGGAGGAGGAGGAGCAGGAGGGGGAGGAGGAGGAGGAGGAGGAGGAGGAGGAGGAGAAGGAGGAGGGGGAGGAGGAGGAGGAGGAGGAGGAGAAGGAGGAGAGGAGGAGGAGGAGGAGGAGGAGGAGGGAGGAGGATGAAGGGGAGGAGGAGAAGGAGGAGGAGGAGGAGGAGGAGGAGGAGGAGGAGGAGGAGGACTCCTGAAAGCTCTGTTGCCGCCTGCACGCGGTGCGCGCTGCCGATCGCCAGCTTGCCAGTGTCGTAGTGGGAGGTGCCGTCGCGCGCCAGCGAACGGAGCGACAGCTTCGCGTCGGTGCCCGGGTTCCTCCAGGAAGTTGCGTTGCAACCTGGGCGCGACGCGTGTTTTTTTTTTTTTTTTTTTTCGCCAAATCGCTCGGGGTGGGCAGCGCGCGTGCGACTCCCTTCCACATGGGCGGGAGCACGTGCCGGCCCCGATGTTCGATCGAGATGGCACTGGGTGTTGTAATCACGGGGGGACACTGGGGGTGGGCCGGGCCCCGCTGAGTTTTTCGAGCCAGCTGTCCTGACACCTGCTCCTGCTACCTGTTCTCCTCCCTCCTACTCCTCCTCCTCCTCCTCCTCCTCCTCCTCCTCCTCCTCCTCCTTTTCCTCCTCCTCCTCCTCCTCCTCCTCCTCCTCCTCCTCCCTCTCCCTCCTCCTCCCTCTCCCTCCTCCTCCTCCTCTTCCTCCTCCTCCTCCCCTACATGGCCTTGCCCCTCGCCTGGCTGTTCCTCGTCCGCTTCCTCCCCGCTTCCTTCGGGGCAGGTGCCGCCTCCCGCTTCGACGTGCAGCACGTGCTCCGCTCGATCGAGGGCCTCCGCCAGTCCCTCCGGGCCAGCGGGATCGACGGCCGCTTTACGCCGCCGGACGCGTCGACAGACATCTGCCGGTAGACCTCCTCGGGAGGGGGAAGGGCCCTTCCGCCCTCCTGCGTTTGCCCTCACGGAGGAGGAGGAGGAGGGGTACGGTGGGGGCGTTCGTGAAGGGATGTGCCCAGGAGGCTTCACAGACCCTGCAGGGTTCCTGACCTGATGAGGGCGGCGGTGACATCCGTGGTCCACGGCCAATCCACGACTGGAGTCCTACCGGCTTCCAGACCCTGGATTTCTTATCCAATGGTTCCTTATTCAATGCCCGCACCGTATTAAGATATTGTAGAAGCCTTGCCTGTGCCGCCAATGCGATGCACGGCGGGGCTTCGTGTGCGGAGTGGGAGATTCTCTGCTAATCTTTTCTCTTCCCTCTCCCCTTCTCGAGGAAACGTAACCATGGATTCCGGCGCGTGGATCAGCGACGGGTCCTGCCTCCATGCGAAATCGGCGCGCTCCGTCGCCAAGTCATGCGGCAGTGACTTCATGTGTCGGGGGTATTGAGAAGGCCTTACGGCCAGTGCCGCCGACCCTGAAGGGAGACGACGACGACGACGACGACGACGGCGGCGGCGGCGGCGACGATGACGCTGACGTTGTCCAGAGTCCTCAGGGCTGCTTCTTGGGGTCTCTTCGTCGGAAGGCTCTCGAGGGCCTCTGGGGAGGAATTTTGGGGCCTCTTGGGAGCCTCTTGGGGGCCTCTTGGGGGCCTCTTGGGAGCCTCTTCTGGCTTCCTGGGGACCTCTCTTGGGCCTCTTGGGGCCTCTTGGAAGCCTCTCGGGGCCTCCTGGGAGCCTCTCGGGGCCGAGGGCTCGAAATGTCCGTTCGGCGTTCGGGTCCCCCGTCTGGGCACGCTTTTGGAGCCGTCTTGGGGGCCTCGTGGGCCGTCTTGGAGGCGTTTTGGGCTGTCTTGGGGTCCTCTTGGGCTGTTTGGGGGCCCTCTTGGAGGCCTCTTGGGCCGTCTTGGGGCGATCTTGGGGGCCTTTTGCGCCGTCTTGGAGCGGCGGGAAGGGGAAAAGGCGTGAACGCCCAAATCTTAAAAAAACAAAAGGACCATCAATGAATTGTGAATTTGGCGTCTTGGAGCTTTCTCGGGAATGTTCTTGAAGGCTTCTTGGGGCGTCCTGGAGGCCTCCTGGGCAGTCTGGAGGGCGTGAAGGCGTTTTGGACCGTTCGTTTTACGATGGGGGGCCCTCTTGGACCGTCTCGGGTGCCTCTTGGGTGCCTCTTGGGGCGATCTTGGGGGCCTCTTGGGCCGTCTTGGAGCGGCGGTAAGGGGAAAAGGCGAGAATGCCCAAATCCTTAGAAAACAAAAGGACCATCAATGAATTGTGAATTTGGCGTCTTGGAGCGTTCTCGGGAGTGCTCTTGAAGGCTTCTTGGGGCGTCCTAGAGGCCTCCTGGGCAGTGTGGAGGGCGCGAAGGCATTTTTGACCGACCGTTTGGCGATGGGGGCCTCTCTTGGACCGTCTCGGGTGCCTCTTGGGTGCCTCTTTGGGCATTCTTGGCCTGTGGTACTTTCTGAGGCCCCGGGACCCCCCGGGGGGGGATGCGTATCTGACCAGCCCCCCACCCGGGACCCCCCCCTAACCCCCGGGACTCCCCCCCCCCCCCTCCCAGACGGGGGAGGGATCCAAGGGAAGGGGCTTCCCTTAGACTCGATTGCGACATTGCTAGAGTTTTCTCTCGCTGACAAGCTTGAGGAGGGTGCAGGGAAAGGGGGTGGCGTTGGTTTGCTGACGCGTATGACTGCGTGCGAGAGCTCTTAGAGGGACCCCCAGCTCGACCTCGACTCGCCCACAGGTGATCTCAGACTTCGTTTTTTGTTGTTGTTTCTTTTTTTTGTTCCTCAAGCAGTGTTTGCACCTAGGGCTTGTCATTATTCCTCTATGGAACTGGGCCCAGGTGCGGTGAATGCCCGGGTCGCGTTCCCGCCCGTCGCCGCACCATTTTCCCAATGAAAGGTCCGAATTGCAAATGCATCGCGTTGCGATCGCATTGCGTTGCAATCGCATTGTTTTGCTTTGCGTTGCTTTGCTATGCGTTCCCCTGGACTCGCATCGCATTGCAGTCGCATTGCATCGCATTGCATTGCATGGCACAGCTTTGCATTGCTTCGCATTGTTTTGCTTTGCTTTTCATTGCTTGGCATGGCTTGTATTACTTTACATTGCATTACTTTGTATTGGTTAACTTTGCTTTGCATTGCGTTACTTTACTTTGCATTGATTTCTATTTCTTTGTATTGCGTTGCGTGGCTTTGCATGGCTTTGCATTGACTCGCGTTGCTTTGACTCGCATTGACTCGCATTGCTTTGCATTCATTTGCATTGTTTTGCATTGCTTTGCTTGCTTTATATTTCTTTGCATGGCATTGCATGATTTTGCTTTGAATTGCTGTGCACTGCCCAGCATTTCTCACTGTTTTTCATTGCTTGGCATTGCTTTGCGTTGCTTTTCCTTGCCATGCATTGCTTTCCACTGCTTTGTATTGCTTTGCGCTGCTTTGCATCGCTTTGCGTTGAGTTTCATCGCTGTGCGTTGCTTTGCATTGCTTTTCATGGTTTTGCATGGCTTTGCGTTGCTTTGCACTGCTTTGCATTGCCTTGCGTCGATTTGCATTGCTTTGCATTGCTCTGCATTGCTTTGGGCATATCTTTGCGCCACAAAGGTTGCAGCACCTGGATTGCACAACCTGGGCTGCGCCGACTGGATTGCACCACCCGGATGGCACCGCATAGACTGCAACGACTTCCTGTTTCGGGTCCACGCTGGCAAACATTCTTGCTTCTGTTCCCCGCAGTGCTTGCGCTTGGGAGTCGCACCGTCGGTACGGCGGCTATGTCGGTCGCCGTCGCCGCCCGCCCGGCGGTATGGCGGCCAGGTGGTCGCCGTCGCCGCCCCGCCGCCGCTTGGTCGCCGCCCGTCGCTCTGGGCCTGCCTGCCCGTCGGCCTGGCGACTGCGTGGTCGCCGTCGCCGCCCCGCTGCCGTCGAGGCCTGCGCACCGCAAATATCGCAAACAAATCATTGTTTGGATTTCACGCTAGCTTAAATCTGCTCCCGACCCTCCTGTGTTCCCGGTTCTCCTGTTCCCGGCCCTCCTGTTCACGCTAGCAAAAATTGCGACCGCCACTCCTTCTTCTCTTTCCCCCTCCTATCTCCTGCATCCCATTTCCTGTCTCCTCTTCCTTCTCTTCATCCTCCCTTCTCGCCTTCGTCCTGCTTGCTTTGCAGCCCCGTTGTGATTCTGCCTCGCGGCTCCCTGGTGGGCTGCGAAGTGTGAAGCTGTCGCCAGTTTCGTGGGCTCCTGGGGTGCCCAGCGGAGTGGAGTTGTAAACGCACGTAGTCGATACCTCGCGGCTCCCCTGCGGGGGCTGGGAACCGTGCAACTGTCGCTACTTTCGTGGGCTCCTGGGAGGCCCAGCGGATGGGGAGTTGTAAACGCACGTAGTCGAGACCTCGCGGCTCCCCTGCGGGGGCTGGGAAGTGTGCCACTGCCGCCACTTTCGTGAGCTCCTGAGCGGCTCGGCGGAGTGGAGTTGGAAACGCACCCAGCCGAGACCTCGCGGCTCCCCTGGGGGGGCTGCGAAGTGCGCCACTGTCGCCACTTTCGTGGGCTCCTGGGAGGCTCAGCGGAGTGGAGTTGTAAACGCACCCAGCCGAGACCTCGTTGCTCCCTGGGTGGCTGCGAACTGCGCCACCGTCGCCACTTTCGTGGGCTCCTGGGAGGCCCAGCGGAGTGGAGTTGTAAACGCACCCAGCCGAGACCTCGTTGCTCCCTGGGTGGCTGCGAACTGCGCCACCGTCGCCACTTTCGTGGGCTACTGGGAGGTCCAGCGGAGTGGAGTTGTAACCGCATCCAGCCGAGACCTCGGGGGACCCCTGGGGTGGCTGCGAACTGCGCCACCGTCGCAACTTTCGTGGGTCCTTGGAGTGCCAGCCGAGTGGAGTTGTAAACGCACTTAGTCGAGACCTCGCGGCTCCCTGGGGGCTGCGATCTGCGCAACCGTCGCCACTTTCGTGGGCTCCCGGGAGGCCCAGTGGAGTGGAGTTATATATGCACCCAGTCGAGACCTCGCGGCTCCCTGGGGGGCTGCGAACTGCGCCACTGTCGCCTCTTTCGCGGGCTCCTCCGGGTCCTTCCAACATGCTCGTTTGTATTGATCGGGCCTGTATATAGTCGCCACACGTGTAGAAACGGTTGGGTCCGTCGCAGGGTAATTTTCAAAAGTCTGGGCGATCTTCCGCCGTTTCGTCTTCTGGCGGCCGTTTCCAGGCCCAGAAAGAAAGGGGGGTCCAGGCCAACAACAGAAACCATGTCGAGACCTTTCGGGCCCGTGGATCGAGAACATCAATCCTTCGTATGTCTGGGGTGGGCGGCACCCCAGCATACTAATACTATGTGTGCGTCGCCCCCCCAGGGGCGACACGCGCACCGAGAAATCTTATAGTATATGCGTCTTGGCGGACGCTTTCTGGCCGTACCGCTTGGGTGGTTATACTACAAGATGGTTGTATTATATACTACAAGATGATTATGCTAGATGTTCGTGTCGGACGCACGCCTCCGAGGAGGACACATAGTATTAGTATATCCTTGTGCGTCCCATTGGGATCCTGCCGAGGTCAGTTGGGGCATTCCAGATCAGGCCTCGCCTGGAGCGTGTCTCGCCTCCTGCGGAAGGCTGGCCGAAGCTGGCGCAAGCGAAACGGCCGGCGGCGGGTCCGCCGGCGGGTCCGCTGGCGGAAGGTCCAGGGAAGTAGGAGGAGGAGGAGGAGGAGGAGGAGGAGGAGAGGAGGAGGAGGAGGAGGAGAGGAGGAGAGGAGGAGGAGGAGGAGGGAGGAGGAGGGAGGAGGAGGAGGAGGAGGAGGAGGAGAGAAGGAGGAGGAGGAGGGAGGAGGAGAAGGAGGAGGAGGAGGAGGAGGAGGAGGAGGAGGAGGAGGAGGAGGGAGGAGGAGGAGGACGAGGAGGGATGACGAGGAGGAGGAGGAGAAGTATTGTCAACATTTTTGTGGGTTCAGGGGCTCCTGGAGTCGGCCACAGAAGTCTAGGCCTCCTTGTTGGGGTTGGATCGCGCCGCATCGCCGATGTATCCCCGATGCGGCTCGATGTGGAGCCCGATTTCCTGCACGTCGACGTCGCCGATGCATCGCCCACGTCGACGATGCATCGCCGGTGCATCGCCGATGCATCGCCGATGCATTGCTGATGTCTCGGCGATGCGGCTTGATCCCCCGACCCCATCTACTCCGACCTCATCTGCGAGGCCTCTAAGATGGGACTACCTCCAAGGGCAGGGCATGCGCAACCCTAAGCCTTGCCAGCGGCGGCAGACACTCTTCCCCTCCCGAGTGGACTCCGCGCTGCACGCAGCGCAGCTGCTCAGTGCAGCGCAGCTGCGCTGGTAGATTTCGGTAAGTCTGACTGATCTTGGATCGACTTCCGCCGACTTGTTGCTGCCGTGCTGCTGTGCTGCTGGAGCGTGACGCCGTGACCGGCGAAGCTGTTCGCAACCGCCACCGCGCATGGTATAGTGGGCATTCTCTGGAGAAGGTCCACGAGCGTGAGACGTTCGGCATAATATGTGCATCGTGCTCCGGGTTAAGGCCCGCGGGCCTCATGTATTTGCGGCTTCCATCCTCGCCGCCTCCTTTCAGTGTGCCAGCTCTGTGGTGGCCCCGCGCTCTGTGGAGCCTGCTGCTGCAGTCGTCCTTGCGTCCCTCCCTCCCGCCTCCCCCCTATTCCCCTTTCTGTCTCCTCCCCTACGCGCATCCCTCCTGCCTGTAGCTGAGGTGTCGGCACTAATTTCAAGAGACCCCCAAAGGAGGGATTCGTCGGTGCCATTCTCACAGTTCTCGCAGGGTAGCGAGGGCATTCGACAGTCAGATCGTGGCCTCGCGCGGCCACGGCGGCGTCTCGCCGTTGCCTTCTCCAGCATGCTTCCTGTTCGGACGGACGCAGATCTTGCGATTCACCACTCACCAAACCAACCAACCGAACCCGAAGGTCCCAATTTGCCCAGTGGGGTGGGCGTCGGGGAGCATTGCAGAGGCACATGTGGAACCCGTGCCCCCACTAACCCGAACTTTGGGTCGTCGGGTTAGGTTGGGGTGGTCTGGTTGGTTGTCAACGATGGCGTGTCCCTCGTTTTTAGGGGGTCCTCAGAGGAGCGCTGGGCGGCCGCGCCCAATGGCGCAACCGCGGCCGCCCGCGAGTGCCGGACCTTGGGAGCCGCGGTCTGCGGCGACGCGGCGCGCGCAGCTTGCTCTCCGCCTCCTCCTCGTCCTCCTCTTCCTCCTCCTCGTCCTCGCCGTCGTCGTCGTCGTCGTCCTCCTCCTCCTCCTCCTCCTCCTCAACCTCCTCCTCCTCCTCCTCCATCTTCCTTCTCCTCCTCCACCTCCTCGTCCTCATTCTCTTCCTCCTCCTCGTCCTCGCCGTCCTCCTCCTCCTCCTCCTTCTCCTCCTACTCCTCCCTCCTCCTCCTCCTCCTCCTCCTCCTCCTCCTCCTCCTCCACCTCGTCCCCCTCATCGGCTTCCTCCCTCCTCCTCCTGCTCCTCCTCCTCCTCCTCCTCCTCCTCGTCCTCCTCCTCGTCCTCCTCCTCTCCTCCTTCTCCTCCTCCTCCTTCTCCTCCTCCTCCTCCTCTCCTCTTGTGGCCACTTTGCCTTCAGATGATTTTGTCTCTCGGGCAGAGAGCGGGCACCTCTGATCCGAGGCTAGACCCTGCTGTTTTCTCCCGCTTCCCCTCGCATGGGTGCCCCATACGCCCGTGGGGCATGCCGTCGGGCGCGCAGTCATGGCGGGGCGCAAGCATGCGCCGTGGCACAATGGTGGTAAGAGTGGCAAGTCCAATTTCCAGTCGAAGGCGTACGACTTAAGCGCAGATTGTAAGCACTGGGAGTGCAAGTCCTTCGGCAAGTTCTGCTGCTCGAAGTGCGGAGGCGAGTACATCAGTTCAAGTGAGCAGCGAGGGCATGGCGGCCGTCGCAATGTTTTTCGCCCTGGTCCTGAGGCTGGTGTGCCTGGTGACGATGGTGATGCCGCTCTTCGTGCTGTTGCTGCATTGTTCCTTGCAGCCAAACCCGACCTTCGAGAGGGTCTCGCCCAGTTCGTGGATGAAGCTCCTGTTATCGAGGAACCAGAGTGGACCGCAGCCAGGCTGCATAATGCAGCCAGCGCCGAGCCCACCCGCCTCGCTCGCATCTTGGAGGAAGCGGCGAAGGCGGTGCGCTTGGCATCTCAAGAAGTACACCATCGAAAGACGAAGGTGCAAAAGCTGGAGGAACAATTGGTGGAGGCCACCATGGACACCGCTACGCACGAGAAGGCCAGAAAGGACAATGCGCAGGCCGACTCGGACCTCCAGCAGTTCAACAAGGACGCCTGGATCAAGCACAAGCGCATCCAACAGCGTGAGGCTCGCGTCACAGCTGTAGACTCCGGTCGTGCTCAGCCTGGGCGGCGTGAAGCAGTACCTGGTGAAGGCGCTGGCGCTGGCGGCCAAGGGGGTGGAGGTGCTCGCCAATTTCCTGGAGGTGGCCTGCGTGATCAAGATGTTCGGATGGAACCCGTGGGCATTCCCAACCTTCTGGAGCTGGATGAGGCTGCGCTCCGCAAGTTCGCAGAGGAGCAGCGCCGCCCCCGTGGGTTTCCGCAGCAGGTCCAGGCCATGTCCAAGAAGCTTGCCCAGGGCGCGGTGATTGATCTGGATGGTGACAGTGATGCTGGTAGCGACATTGGCGATCTACCCCTTCGGGAAGCTGATGAGCTAAGGCGCTCCGCAAGAGAACCTGTGGTGAAGGTCTCGACCCTGACGACCTTTAAGGTAGAGCGCCCCATGGTCATGGAGTCCAAGGTACGGCTGTCGAAGCACCTCAAGACTGTCGCTGACGCCGCTTCCGCCGACTTCGCTAATCTTGTCCGCGCCGCGGTGGCCCAGATCTCGATGTCTGACATGTAGCACCGTGAATGGGGGCAGCTCTTGCTTCTGTAGCATCGCGCATTGGAATGCTCGAGCTAAAAGCTTCCTTTCTAATGTACATAATACGGCTGGCGCTTTTTCTTTGCTGAGCACCGCCAGCGCCGAAGGAATGCGCCGCAATGGCGTGGTGGCCTCACTCTCTCCCTGCTCGGAGCACTTCTGGAGGGGGTGCCCATGGGCGGAAGGGGAATCTCTCTCTCTCTCTATATATATATATATATAGATACAACTTCCATATCTTTACATAGGCATGGACAAATGCTTCTGTCTCGCAATGGTAGTGCGAAGGAGGTTGGGGCTGGAAATGGCTGGATCTTCCTGGGGCTCCGCACTCAGAGGTCCGTTTTGGCGGTTGCAGTCGTGTCTGTGGTTGCCGTTTTCGGAGTTGCTGGTGGTACTATCCGAAACATGTTGTCGATAAACGCGCTCGTGCAAACCTTGGCGGCCCCGTGGGTCCTTAAGGGGGGCTTCAGAATCGATGTGGAGCTCGTGCAGCTTTGTGGTGGCTTTCTGAAGATAGCGCGTGCTCGTGCCATTGCTCCTGCAGACGTCGCCTGCGCTTGATCGCAAGGGAAGGGCGCAGTGATTGATTGCGTTGTTGCTTCGAGGACCTTCGCGCCGTTCCCTAGGGTCTCAATGTGCGAGAGCTCGCCGTTCAAGACGCACGCTTGTTTGAAGGTAGCGCTGCCGCGTGAAGCCTTGCTCCAGGAGGTGACCGAGAGACGTGGGCCCAGAGATTTTCCCGTGGTGCAGGGGCCCGAACTTCCCGTGAGTTCGTCATTTTGAGAGAGCGTCTCGGGAATGGCCCGCGCCAGTCCGAAATTTTGGAGGTCGACTCGTTCCTCGTGTCTAGGGGCTTGACTAGTGTCTACTTGCAGTTGCCCCGTGTTTCTGAGAGCTTAGCTCGCGGGGGTAGTCGCGGGCGCGAGCGCGACGTCGAGCTGTGTGTGGTGTGGGGGGTTTTCTTCGTGCTAGGCGCGCTGCGCTGGCCTGTCAAATTCGGTGCGGGACAGCGTGTTCGGACCCCGCGCTGTGCTTGTGGTCTCGCCCCCCCCGCTAGCCGCGTGGACTCTGTGTCGCTCTGGGGCGCGGGCGCAGTGAGATGGCTGGGGATTTGCCGCGCCGAGTTTATTATCTTGGCCAGTGTGCCGAGCGGTATTCTCGCTGTCTGCGCGCGGCGCAGGATGCGCCGGCGCGGCGGGCTCAGCTGGCCCAGCTGGAATCGGGCCGCTCGGTGCTAAGCGTCGATCTCTGTGACTTCCTGGCCTCCGAGTGCTCCGATGCGCTCGGGGGGGCCTGGTCTGATGCTCGCGCGAATTCAGCTGAGGCGATTGAGGAGCGGCTTCGCAAGGCACTGCCAAGGGGGGTTGAAGGCTTGCACATGGATTCGCAACGAGATGGCCCGCTGGATTTTTGGGTCGGGCCATTCGTGGGGCCCTGCAGTCGCCAGGCGAAATGACGGCCCGTCGGGCCGAGATCCAGGGGGTATTTTGGGCCGCTGGCCCCGGGCAAGATGCGGGGTTCGGGGTGGCTTTGATTGAGCTTCGTGAGCGAGCCGCTGAGGCCCGGCCAGATTTCCCCGACATTGAAGCTTGTGGTGTCTCTGCCGCTTGTGGGCTTCCTTGGGGGCGCTCCGGCGGGGATTGGTCGCTGGGTGCCTGGGGGGGCCCGTGGCGGTTAAAAACCCGGTGCTTTGGGGGCGCGCGTCCAGTTGTATAGGAGGTGTGGAGAGGCCCTGGCGCGGCCAGAGCAGATCTTCCCGCGTTTGATTACATTCCGCCCGAAGAGCAAGGTTGATGAAAGACCCGTGTGTGAGTGTTTTACGTTTTGCAGGGCTTGCGCCCAAATCAGAGTCTTTCCCAGGCGAGTGCAGTAGAGACCACGTTGCGTTTTGGGGCGTCGCTGTTCGAAGGAGCTCCGCCCTGCAGGCAGCCTTGCTCTCGCTTCGTGTACGTGGGTTTGCTGATCCATATTTCGCCGAGGATGCCGGGGGCGGGGCGTCTGTGCGTTGAGCTGGTCGAGCCAGGCGTGGGGGCCCTCCCTGGGTGCCCCCAAAGTATACCGAGGACCTCAGCGTGCCTGTGCCAGATGTGAGATGATATTTGCCATCGGTTTTGCCATGTCGTGGTTCTTCAGGATTATGCTGATGTTCTCTCTCGCAATTCACGGGGGGGTGCCGACGGCGCGTTCAGCGCTAGTGTTCTGCCGCCGTCCAGTCGGCGCGCGGCGTGGAGGGTGCGCGCGTGCATTTCGCGAGCAGCAAACGCGCAGTTTGTTTTTGCAGCGCGCGGCCGCTTCGGGCCGCCGGGATTTCTCTGAGGGTCCAAGTTGCGTGCCGCGATCTTGAGGTGCTGCCGCGGCTGGCAAAAGTAGATGCAGCATGATCTTGCGGACTCGGAGAGCCAGGGCCCAGAGGGTGGCCAGGGAGGTCAACCGCTTCATTGGAGTTTGTGAAGGGGCGTCGGAACTTTATGAGGGTGCTGTCTGTTTCGTCGTGGGGCCGCAATGTTTTTGGGCCGTCGCCCCGCCGGGTCCGCGCGGTCCGCGCCTTGGCCACAACGTGTTCAGATTGGTGGAGCCCTTGGTCCTGCGCGACTACGTTGTTAATTGTTCAGATGGCCGAGTCAGCTGATCCTGCCTGCCGTCTTCGGCGGGCGCGAGCAGCTCCTTGGTTCCAGAAGTCATGGTTGAGTTTGGGCCCTGGGGTCAACGTGGGGATTTCACGGTTGTGGAGCGCTCGTGCCGATGATTTTATTTACGTGGCCCCAGACCGCGTCTGGCGCAGGCTGAGGGGGCCTGTGGCCGCCGCTGTCGCAGTCGTCGTGGATTTACAGCGGCAGCTTTGTTTCTTATTGTTCGGACTGTTCCTGGCGGTGGCGTCCTCCATGTCGATGCGCTTGATTTTCTTCTCCAGCTGTGGGGGCACCTCGAGAAGGCTATCCACGGTGGCGCATGGGAAGTCGCCGCGCAACGCAATTTCGGGGAGGGGTGTCAGGGCTGTCCCGTGGCTTTGATTATAAGGGCCAGGGGATCATTCGGAATACCTTGGTGGGTGGTTGCTGGACTGATGCGCGGTTGCGTGAAAACTGATGCTGCTGAATCGAATGGTATGTGCCCGAGAAGCGTGCTGGCACCTGGAACGCTTTTTTTCCATCGTTTTGGGGGTGCGATGTCAACGGCAGCATCCCCTTCCAGCCGTGGTGCAGTCCCAGCCTCTGCGTGCTCGTGCACTTGAAGAGGGTCTTTCTTCTCCTGCACTTAGGTGCCGCGGGCTTCTGCCCAAATCTCGCGCGATTGGCCGCCTCCCGCCGCTCGCTAGTCTGATCAGG